CGAATTAAAATATAGAATTTATTAAGTTCGTGGTTCTTAAATGGAATACGCTTCAAAGGAATTATACTTTCTCTCGAAACCTATAATTTCCTAGGTTGTGTTATTCTTATAATTTCGAAATAGACTAGCATCAAATCATTCAATTAGTGACCAATTAATTGAAAGCATTAAAATCATAACACAAATAAACATATGCGGAAACTCTAATAGAAATAACTAAAATTAATCAATCAATGTTCTCAAGTTTTTTGCTACAATCAAACCCTAGATAATGAATTTAGCTCATGATGTAATCTATCATATAAAATGACATAGGGAAGAGAATAGAAAAATTAGTATGTAGATCTTCAATTTCTTCACTTGTTCTTAGGGATGGCAATTCGAACTATTAAAATCGAAAATCGCGATTAACCGAACCGAATGGGACGAAAAAATCGAACCGATAGTACAATAGAATGGTTATGATTTTGATTTTAATGACCCGGTTCGGGGTGGGGCGGGTATGATATTTAGCGATGGTGACCCGCCCCGAACCGATTACCCATTAAAAAAATTAATTGGGCAATTGGTCTTTCCATTATTCTTTCCCAAAATTAATTGAGCAATTTTGACAATTGGACTTTCCCAAAATTCTGGCCCAATTAACATTACTAGTAAACTCTTAACTCAGTAATCTAACTCTAACCCTACAAGTTAAAATTGAAAATTGGAAACCAAACTTACAAAACACTCGTCCACTCAACCAATGAACCATATCAGATCCGTCGATGATCTGCTGCCTGTACCTCAACTTCAAATTGTAGTAATCAGCAACGAAGTCTACCATCTTGTGAGCACACTCTCAAAGTTGTTCTGCGTCCATTGGCTTCAAACCATCTTCCCTGTACAATTCAACAAAATTCAAATACATTATACTTGATTGCATTGTCTTTATAATACAGTATGGATGTATTATTACTCTAATTACATTTATTACTTACTATATAGGAATCAAGTTTGAGTTTTGAGTATTATTACTCTAATTACATTTCTTACTTACTATATAGGAATCAACTTTGAGTTTTGAGTCTTGACCTATGCTAGTAAGAGTCTTAACCTATGTTGATAGTATTGTTTGTTAAATTCGAATTTTGCATTTGGAAGTTGTGATATTGTTTGCATTTTCATTTGGAATATTGTTTACTAAATTGACTTAGTATTGTGTTTTTGTTTTTATTGATTTTTCTTCATAATTTTTTTTCCCAATTTGACGGTTGGAGTTTGAACTTATAAAAAATAATTTATTTTTGTAGTTATTAACCGAACCGAATCGAGATACGAATCGAGCCGAACCGAAACCGAGTTATGTGGTTTTGGTGCGGTTATGGTATGGCCAAAAATTTGGTGGTGCAGTTATGGTTTTGGCCGTACCGATCGTGAACCAAACTGTTGCCATCCCTACTTGTTCTTCTTTCTCTTGTTCTTGAATCTCTTGATTTTTTCCTCATTGACTTCTTGAAGAATTGTGTTACATTCCCTCTTGCCTCTTGAACCGTTCTTCCCCCTAGAATTAGGTCTTAAATGTTGTATTTATAGTATTTTGAAGTTTTGGAAGGGTTGGAGTCATGTTGGACCAAGAAAATAGTCAACAAAACTCAAAAATCATTTTTTCTCACCTAGCGGCGCCATACTCATGGCCTTGCAATGCCCAGTTGCTATTGAATTTCAGCAACGGTGGTGCTGCGGTGCCACTATTGCGGCATTGTGGCGCCCAATTTCGGATGAAAATTCAGCACTGCATATCTTTCAGTATTTTTATCATAACATTTTTTCTCGCTATCCAATTGAGCTGATTCAAAATGATTTGGAAAGATAACTCTAAGGGCTACAACTTTATTTCAGATATCATTTTCCAATTCAAACGTTCTATGTCAAATATGAGTCTCAATATGAGACTGAAAATTCGGAGTATAACTTTTTCGGTTGGAAATTGATGTGTGATCATACTTTGCCTATATTTCATCCCCTTGATTTCTTTCTTTATCCAATTGAATCCTAGCACTCTCGAATCTTTATTGTGAGGTCCAACACAACTTTTGAGTATTTTCACTTTAGTCCCCAAACTTTGGATATCTTATAATTTAGCTAGCTTCTTCAATTTTGCCAACTTTTGCTTATTTCCTTCATTTTAATCAACATATATCATAACATCAAAATACACATTAAAATGCTCTAAAGAAATTAGTGAAATATCAAGTTTAGATGATGTCTAAAGTATGAGTGAAATATACTCATCACAGAGCTAGACAAGTTAGTTTTCCTTTTCCGATTTAAACTCATTTGAACCCCAGTTTGGACACGATTTCGACCTAAATTTCGACACCTATAAATACAAGACGAGGGTTATCATTTAGGGAATCGCTCTCAAGCCTCTCATATTACATTATATCATAAAATTCATCAAGAATAATAGTCCAATTGACACGATTTTAATGCTTCGTACTTTTCAGCACTCATTGACCACCTTTTTGCGTTTTGGGTTTTATTTTGGGGTCAATTTTTAGGGCATGACATGCCACGTTGGGACCTATTCCCACCATGTCAGTATTCCTTCAAGCAAACACATTTATGTTCGCCATCAGGACTTTTTAGCAAACCTTTCATAGGTTCGCTCAACTCTTTCCCAACTTTCAGAGCCTTATTTGTATCCTTAGAACCAACAAAATAAAAAAAAAAACTTTCCAATTATTCGACTGCATCCATTTGGACATCCAGTCATTTATGCAAGGATCGATTGATTCATCGATTCAAGTTTACCCATGGGATTAGTCGTTTTATAGCTATTATGCTTCTCTTATGAGCTCTTATGGCTTCATCTTTCCCATTATTTTCATGAAACTTGTATAGGATTCCCTGATTACGATTGAAGGATGCTTTGCCATTATTCGTAAAAAACCTTCCATATATTTGATTGAGGAAAATGATTATATTCGCCTATTTAGCAGGCTATCCAAGGACTCCATCATATGCGATTGTTTACATATATCCGTAGTACGTTTGGGGTTCCTCTCCTATTTTCACTAATAGAGTGGCCAGTCCGTGAAGAACTTGGTCACCTCTGGTGAAACAGTAAGGCTCCGAAACAAAAATCCAGGGATTATATTTCTGTTTTTGATCAAAAAAATTTCATACAAAATGTTCACTCTGCTTCCATTGTCTAGGAGCATACGGTGAAAACATTCTCCAGCTATTGTTGCCTAGATAAATACTACCTCGTCTCTAGGACCGAGATTTTCACCTTTAGTTTATATAGATTTAATCAAAGAGGTTAGAGATTGTTGATTACCCGTCTTTCTGAAGGTGTCTGATATTGTACATCTCTTGGTTGATTTACTTTTTGGTTCTTTATTTTTGTGGTTAAAGCAGCGTGTTTCACTATTAGCGCTTTCATGCCTTCGGCCATTTTTTGTATGGACTTTGTCGCAAACTTCTTCTTTTATAGACATCGGCGCTGAGCAAGAGATAGATTCTCTCACAGCCTCGCTGTTGTATCTTATTGTCGCTGCTTTGAGCTTGCACTTGTATTAAATGGACAATGGTTGATCTCGTTGTTCTAAATTTCCAGTGCCTTTATCTCCTTCGGCTTTTCTTTTACTGACTAATATTTGCAGATTTGAACGATTTTCTAACTTCAATGAACAAATTTTTTGTTTTCTTTGCTCAGTTTTCCGTAGACGGCATCAATTTATTGACGATAAAAATATGATCGACAAATTCCTCTCACCTCACCAAAATTTTCTCTTCCTAAATTCACAAGTTTTGATGCTCAAATTGGAGCAAGAGGGAAAATGATTATTTGCAAGGAAGATATTTGATTTTGCATGCCCCCCTTATTTTAGACAAGAATATTTCTAAATTTCCCCGAGCTTTGGGTTATTCTAGAGAATGACATGGGGCGAGAATTTAATGGTGGATTTGTAAGTGATTCCGTTATGTATTCACGTATTATTCATTAGGCTTGGAAGTCATACTTTTCATTTTTACCACCGTGTGTTAAAATAACCGTTTTTACAGTAAAGGAGACTATTTTCTTTTTATCTTTTGTGAGCCTTCTTCGTTTTAGTTGTTGTAAGACAATAGACTTTGCGGTGCTATTTACAATTAAGTCCCTGTTTGATTTGATTAAAACTTAATTTTTAATGAATTTTAATAAAATATAATTTAAAAGTTATAAATTTAATAAAATATAATTAAAAATAAATTCTGAAAAACTAGGGCCAAATTGGGGTAAAAGGCTAAATTCTTGTNGCACCGATTTTAGATGGTTTAAAAACCATCAAATTGACGAGTTTAGACATATTTTCTTCTAATTTTACCTTCTATAAGTAATTATTTCAACATATTTTCTTCAAACTAACTTACAAATTATCTATAAGTAAAATATTACTTATGAGTAAAAAAAATCATATAAAAAACTATAAATTGCAAATTTTGCTACAGAAGTATATGTAATTTTATATTCTTTTAAAAATAAAAACATTAAAAATCAGTGAATAATAAACTTTCAAGCATGAACTGAACAATTCCAAAAATCCCTACTAAAATCACTTAAAATCAATCCACATATAGATGTTCAAAATCAATATTTTAAAAAACGTTCATAATCGATATATCGAAATAAACGTTAAAAATTAATACTTTAAAAAACGTGGGAACTCTCGTCAAACGTTACAAAAATATCAGGGAGGAATTAATTTATTATTTGAATCTAATAAAAATACCGATGAGAATCGAAAAAACGCCCGCCTAACGTGGTCTGTTTCTACCCATACAAATCTCTGCGTCTAAAACCACCACTTACCTCTCCATTTGGCCACACACAGTAACCGTCTCCTCCTCCTTTCTTCGATCGTACGGATTTTTAATACTTGCAATAATATCTGTATATCTACACATCTTTCCTCACCCACATGTAGAGACACAAAAAGACTGTAAACTGCCCTTATTTTGGAGAAATATAAATGGGAGGGGAGAGTACTTCAATGGGTGCGCTGGTGCCTATAGTGAAGTCCGAGCCGGAAAATTCTTCCGGCGAAGCTCAGCCTATGCCTTCGATACCGATGGAGGAGAAGGGGCAGGGGGTAGAAGAGCTGGATAAAGATGTTTTGTGCCCGATATGTATGCAGATCATTAAGGACGCGTTTTTGACGGCGTGTGGGCATAGTTTCTGCTATATGTGCATTGTTACTCATCTTCAGAACAAAAGCAATTGTCCTTGTTGCTCTCACCACCTCACCACCAATCATCTTTTCCCTAACTTTCTCCTCAACAAGGTTTACTTTTTTATGATTCTTTTTTCTCGAATGTTAGGATTTCTCTGTTTTAAATTAAATTTTGCATTTCAATTTTTTTTTCTTGTCAACTGGCGATTCCTTCGGGGATACATTTGTTATTTAAACCGTGTATTTACATGTTTTTTTATGTTGGTAGCGTGTCAAAATTTTACTAGAAATTTAAATTAGGCCCCCGTGGAACCCGAGCCCTGCCTCTGCCTATGCTGATAAATTGTCCAGAAAGAGAAACATAAAGTGACTACCGAAGCAAAATCTCATCATACAGATCCACTTGCAAGTGAAACATAGATAGTTGTTGGAAAGACAATACTTCTGCTGTTTTGTTTTGATTTCTGCCAATTGTGGCGAACTAAAACTTTGGGAAATGGCCCCATTTTTGGTTTGTTTGACTGGGGTTAGTTAATTGAGTACTCTTTAATACTCATGTTCAAGGATTATTGTTGGTTGTAAGACTTCACTTTAACATAATGGATGACTAAAGCTCTTTTTGGATGTCAGAATCTTGTAAGGAAATTTTTTTCTAAAGTGGAACTATGGAAAGTAAACATAAGCAAAGAATATAAAGGGAAGAATCATAATTCTCTTCCATGCATGTAATATGGAACTAAACGTTGTTCCTTGATCCATAATTTTGTAACAACAGGAGGATATGGTTATTGAAATGCCATTATTGCTAGAAAATTTTCGTGGTCGGACTCTTCATTTTTCCTCGTAAAGATAAGGAGAAAATCGTTATTTTCCTTTGGGCATCCTTACTAGTTAATCATTCGTGCTTTTTAAGTGGAAGATGACAACAATCTAAGCTTTGTTCCTAATAAAAATCTTTTGTCATTCCATTCCAATCTAAAGGTACCTCTTGCGAAGATACCAGCGAAATCAAATCTTTTGCAGCAGACTTTGCTTTGAAAGAAGAATATTTCACTAGAATAAATGTTATTGTCATAAAAAGTTTCATGGTCAATAAGAGCTGATATACTGATCTCACAAGTATTGCGATCATAATGTAATCTGACATGGGAGGTACACAATTCAAAATTTCAATGATTGAAAGACGAGGAAGTGTATTTGTGGGAGGAGGAACTGACACCATCAATATTACAAACTTATCCAAGACATGGTCAAGTTACACTGCTATTACAATCAAACTCGGGTCATATAGTTAGTCATAAGTGAAAACTGAATGATCGCCAGAGGCTCATTCAGTATGTTTTTCAGATGCCATAATAGTAATTGGATTATATGACTTACAGAAAATGGAGGTGCATTTTCGTTATAATTGCTGAGTTAGTGAGTTTCCTAACTTACCGTTTCGATGCTTCTGAATATTTCTAGTCTTATTACGTAGGACTATTTAATCTTCCACCGAGCTTATGGTGATATATGTCTAAATTCTATAGTTATTGATGAAGACATCTGCTCGTCAAATAGCTAAAACTGCCAACCCTTTGGAACAACTTCGCCACACTCTAGAACAGGTCAGATTTATGTCTGTATTGGCACTGTTTCTGATTTCAATTTTGTCCCATCTTTTTTTTGATGAAATTGTCATAATAGTTTATTGCTTGGCACCTTGAAAGTACGAAAGTTTCAATTTTTCATTCATGAAACTATTCTCTTGTAATATTTAGGATGTTGTGCATGGTAGACGTATATGTGCAGGAGGCGGTGGATTCAAAAACGTGCTGATTTATGCTCTTGAGTACATAATTTCCTAGTAATCCTCATGTTTGCAAACGTACATTGGTTAAAATGGCTTTTAACGCTGTTGGAGGCAATAGTTTATTATAGGACAGGTGGTCACAACAGCTGACCCTCCAAGTTTATAGAATTGTATGTTTTCACAAAATGTTAATTTCAAACAGTATCTTCAAGAAATATGATTTTGCCTCCCTGTTAGGATCCTAGCTGCTGATTTCCCAACATCTGTCGTTTCTGCTGTTGTATGGAACTTCCAATGGAATTTAGTAGCATGTAGATGCGAATTTGATTAGTTCTCTGCTGTGGAAAGGAAATTCAGTCAATGAACTAAACTGAGGATTTGTATTTCAACACAGATGAACACTGAAGAACAATTGATTTATTCTAGAAGAAATAATGAACTCCAATTAACTACAAATTCCAAGGCTATTAGAGAGGCCCGGTCTCTCCCCCTCAATACAACAGACTTAGTAAAGTCAATGCCTATCTCAGTTCCATTCCCTCCCATTTATTCACATTTCCTTCCACTACACTTTTACTATTTTACCCCCAACTAACTAACTGCTAATGACCTGGTAACCCTTTCTTCCTTCGTGAATAAGTGAACCGGATTGGGGGCCTATCACTCCCCCAACCATCAAGTAAATAAGAAAATATAGTACTGCCCCATTACATATTTATCAAACCTATGCTGCCACCCAAGCTCCATTCGTAAGAAATGAGGGATTGTTTTCCAATTAATACTTTTTATCGCTAGGTGAAGGGATAGTTTTTGGTATTCAAGTCAATTAGGTAGCAAATTTGTTTCCACAAACCAACGACTAGTCCATTGGATTATCTTGAAAACTATTGATCTTCCCTAGTTGGCTTAGTTCATGTGTATAATTTTTTTCTTTTACTATGTGTGCACTAATTTGATATTTAGACAGGGATGTGATGCATCAGTCAAGGAGCTCGAGAGCCTCTTGTCTCTTCTTGCTGAGAAGAAAAGTAAAATGGAGCAGGAAGAAGCTGAGACAAATTTACAGATTCTGTTTGACTTTCTGCAATGTCTAAAAAAGAAAAAGCTTGACGAACTCAATGAGGTTATTGAACTTGATTTTCTTGTTTTCTGGCTTAATCATTTACCATTTTCTACACTAGCTAATGTAACGTTTGTGTTTGGGTAGGTAGAATTTCCATAGGACTAACAGAAGTTTGCAAGAAACACATTTAGAACAGAAGGGAATATGTTTCCCCATTAGCTTAATAGTAGGCTGTATTTATTAGCTTGCAAAGGTTTGTCTTACTGTGTCATATACCTTGGCATCGTTGAAATTCCAAGGTCCTGTTTTGGAAAATCCAAAAAGAAGCGCATTTCTGCGAATCTTGTATTCATCAAGGGTTAAAAGATATCTGCTATTTTGAGATATTACAACACATTCCCTGTTATGATTTTAAATTGTTAACTGACCTATCATAAGTTCATCCTCTCTGTGAAGCCTATTAACCAATTTTTCCGTAACGTTTGTTAATAAATAACGAATTTACCCTCTGCTCAAACAAAACCATGAATTCTTGTAATACTTATTTGAAATCGTGTTTTAAATTGCCATCCAGATTCAAGCTGACCTTCACTACACAAACAAAACCATGATTTCTTCTATACCTATTTTAAATTGTTTTTTAAATTGTCATCCAGATTCAAGCTGAACTTCATTACATTAAAGAAGATATTCATGCAGTGGAGAGGAGACGAATAGAGCTGTATCGAGCAAGAGACCGGTATTCTGCAAAATTGAGAATGCTTCCTGATGACTCTACTTTAAAAAATACGTGGCCGTCCCTGATTGATAAACGTAGTGGTGCCATTGTCTCTAGGGCCACCGGAGCACAGGGGCTTTGTCATCTGAGTTCAGGTGCTTCAAAAAACAGTAAAACTGATGCACAAACACCTGCGAGTCATTTAATCCCGAGAACGGATGCTTCTGGTGGATCAGATTCTCAAAACATTACTCAATCAAGAATGGCATTGGCAAGAAAGAGGCGGGTTCATGCACAGGTCAGTGCACCTTCAGTAAAACTCCATCACGTTACATTTCGATAATTTTCAAAAAGACGTATATAGTTGAAGTTATACATGTAGAGGAAAGTCATATTTTTTTCAACTGAGGCACACTATAAGTTTTCATTGCCCCTAATGCAAGTTCTAAGAATACATCACAATTCTAAAGTTTGACGGACTTCAGTTATGTATGCTTCCTTTCAGGCATGCAATTTTTCAGCTCATAATGTTTGTAGTGTTGAATTCATTGGCCCACTTGTAGTAGTTGCCAAGTACTTGTATATTAACAGTCATCGTTGAAAATGTCTATTTGGTTTGGCTCTGTGTGAAAAGTAATTTTATCTTTGTTGACACGTTCACCATAATATGTTATGTTGCAACAGTTTAATGATCTACAAGATTGTTATTTGCAAAAGCGGAAGTATTGGGTGTCACAGGAGCAGCAACAAAGGGATTCACATGGTTTGAATAGGGAAAGTTACAGTGCAGGTCTTGAGGATTTTCAGTCTGTTCTATCCACCTTCACGCGATACAGGTAAGTTATTTTATCTCCCAATAAAATTTAGTATCTCTTGTTAAAATGCAACTCGCAGGCTAAATCTGTTTGGTTGGTCAATTAGTCGTTTGCGGGTCGTTGCGGAACTTAGGCATGGAGATATTTTTCACTCAGCTAATATTGTATCAAGGTATGTTGAGTTTTCTGAATATTGTGCAGACTTTTTCTCAAATTCCACTATTCATTATATTTTGATGAAGCAAGCTCTCAATAGAGAGAAGAATTTTGGACCACACCTTTCAGCACACTTTATGTATCGTAAGCCAATCATTTGAAGAGCATTAAGGATAACTGCAAGTAGTATATGGATAACATTGGAACTTGTGTGTACTTTTTTAGACAATTGCTGATGATGGATGCGAATAAATCACTTATTAAAGCCTGTATGAAAGTCCTAATGTAGCTAAGATTTTTTGTGTTTCATTGGCGACTCCTGGGAATAGCCGGTTTGGGCTTATCTACAAATTAAAATTTATGAGTTTATTTGTTCTTTTCACCAACCAGTTCTAATTTTACAAATATGGGGAGACTAAATACCTCAGAAAAATAAGGATTTATATTTAAGTTTTGGAATTTACATATGATCATTTAATTATAGTGGTGGTCTGGGGGTACGATAGCAGCCACCATCTGAAATCTGGAAAACTTAAGACAAAATGTACCTCTGGGGAGTCTTGAAACCTTGAGGTCTTTCATTTTATCCCTCGTTTGAATCAAATAATGATTATAATCTCTTTCGAATTGTTCTTTTCAGACCTCTCTCTGTCTTATGGAAGGTTTACCCAAATTGTGCCTCAAAATTTCTTTTCACTGTTGCAGTATAGAATTTGACAGAGATGATGAATTATTTGCTACTGCTGGCGTATCACGGCGTATCAAGGTTTTTGAGTTTTCATCGGTTAGTATTTGAAAAATGTTTCAAAACTTGATGAGATGGTGTAGTTTGGCTTTTTTGGAATGGACTTGTTCATACATCGTTTTGACATTTTTATACTGTAGGATGGGACATTTGTTTATAAAATAGGCACGGTTGCTTCAAATTTCATCTAGAAATTGTGTTTAGACTCTATACAAATTATAGATGCCAGTTTTTTATTTATTTACAATAAAATTTGTTTTTATACCATTGAATTTTCTTTGGAAATGAAATTCTTAAATGAGGCTTCACTTTAACTTTTCAGGTGCTAACTTTCTTAGCAAGACATTGTATAATGAACATTATCTTCTTAAGATCACTTTTTTGTTTCAAAAGAAAAAGGTTACACGATGATTGGTCTCCAGGTGGTTAACGAACCGGCCGACGTGCAATGTCCTGTTGTGGAAATGTCCACACGATCCAAACTCAGCTGTTTAAGTTGGAACAAGTACACAAAAAATCACATAGCCAGTAGTGACTATGAGGGCATAGTAACTGTTTGGGATGTGACTACACGTCAGGTATTATCTTAGGCCAAGAACTTTTCTGCTTGTTCCCCCTTGGTCCTGCAAAATGTGGGCATGATTAGCTGAACACACTCTCAAAATACATATTTATATCCATTCAGAGTGTGATGGAGTATGAGGAGCATGAAAAACGAGCTTGGAGTGTTGATTTTTCACGTACAGACCCTTCGATGCTTGTATCTGGGAGCGATGATTGCAAGGTGCTTGAATTTTGTTTATATTATTCATGAGGTGCATCGTTTGTTTTGTGAAAATATTATCTGTACTACTTCAGAAAGCCTCTCTCCCATTTTTAGTGAGCAGTTTACATTTTTCGTTTTTCAAATTCAGCAATGATTGTAGTTTGAAAGGAAAATTTGAACGTAGCTGATAGGACCAAGTGTAATATGTCTAGAACATGTTTTCGAGAATCAAGTGGGATGACTTATTTGTTGAACTGTATGGAATCTATTTCTAAACCATTAAAGATTTTCCTTTAAAATGGAACTCATTTGTGAAGTAAATTATCTTGATAAATGAAGATATGTCAGCCTAATATCAAATGTTCACCAGGTCAAAGTTTGGTGTACAAAACAAGAAGCAAGTGTTCTCAATATTGACATGAAAGCCAATATATGTTCTGTCAAATATAATCCCGGATCTGGTATCCACGTGGCTGTAAGTTCATCATTTTTTTTTTCTGGAATTATTTATTTATTGTCCTATGAGCTTAGTGAAAATAATTCCGAACATACTAGCAAGATAAATGATACACCAGAGGTATAACGCTCGTGTATCTTGTAGGTTGGCTCTGCAGATCATCACATTCATTATTATGACTTGAGAAATACTAGCCAGCCATTGCATATCTTCAGTGGGCATAGGAAAGCTGTTTCTTATGTAAAATTTTTATCAAATAACGAGCTTGCTTCTGCATCTACCGACAGTACATTGCGCCTCTGGGACGTTAAGGAAAATGTGCCGGTAAGTGATGATCCTTGCAAGGCTATAATTTTTTAATGTTATTCCTATTTTATTAGCAAATATTTTTTCTTCGGAAAGTATAGGAACTGACGCGCATGAATGTTCAATCATCTTTTCCCTTAATCCAGTTTGAGCGTCAAATTTTTTCTTTAATCAAATTAGATATAGGAAGTTAAAAGGACTGAAAGAAAGCTGAATAAATGCCCTTGCTGCTAGTTAGTTTTTTCAATTGGAAGATTGTTGCAGGCTTGTTTAAACTTTTATGCTAATCATGTGGTTCCATCAATTATGGTTTCTCAAGCTCCATTCAGGACTGGGATGATCTTTTTTTCTTGGGGAAGATATATGGTTGTTGTATAAGTAATATTTAATTCATCGAATCACTCTTTGAGAATGTTGAAGTTAATTTGGTATTATTGAATTTCTCCTTCAGCTACGCACATTTAGAGGACATGCGAATGAGAAGAATTTTGTGGGTCTAACTGTAAACAGTGAATATATAGCCTGTGGCAGCGAAACAAATGAAGTATTTGTCTATCACAAGGTATGTTGATTTATGATGGAAAAAGCCATTCTATACTTGAAACTAGGTCATCTCTCGTAGTGGAATGTGATTTTTAATCGAATTTGGGTTTTGTACAGGCTATTTCAAAACCAGCAGCTTGGCATAGATTCAGTTCTGATACCGATGAAGCTGATGAAGACACCGGTTCATACTTCATTAGTGCTGTTTGTTGGAAAAGTGATAGTCCAACTATGTTAACAGCTAACAGTCAAGGCACAATTAAAGTCCTTGTACTTGCTCCTTGATCAATAAAACTAAATATTTGAAAGCTGTGAAAAATTTACTTGCATTACTTCTCTCTTTAGCCTGGAATACCCAGGTTATGGAGTAGCCATTCCTTGTCTCATAATTTGTTGTTATCTTTGAATTTTTTGTATCTGAAACCAAAAGGATGGGCAGAGTCTTGAAAATAAGAAGCTTATGTGGCAGTAGACAAATAAATAGGTTTTAGTTGTAAATTGTACGCCTTTATTCACTTTTGTGAACATTTGAAAATATATGGTTATTTCCTGTGCAAGTACTTGTGTTCATTAGTTTATAGTAATTTTGTCATTGGATTGTAGATCGATCCATTAAATGAAGAATGGACAAAAATAGAAAAGTAAAAGATGTTTTCCTTAATTTATCTTGCATTGAATGTAGGATTCACTTTCTTAGCACTTGGCATCAATCTTTTTTTTCTAATCTCAAGAGCAGCTTATTTGAAACCAGATGGTTTAGATAGAGCTTTCTTCTTTCTTGCTAGATTCAGGGCCCGTTATGTCATGTTCAGTTCCACTATAGGCCAGGCCATGACAAAACTGTGACCTATTTGGCTATTTCCATCCAGTCAGTCATTCGACAACTCTANCTATTTCCATCCAGTCAGTCATTCGACAACTCTATTTGTCATATCATCGAAATTGTTAACTTTTGGAATAGTGGAGACTAGGTCATAGATGAAATACAATGTTTACAATGATTATTCAGAAAGATTAAAATTTTCAAAGACCGTTAAAAAATAACTTTGAAAATACAATGTCTATCGAGATTTTTAACGGTTATAGTTCATTGAATTGTTTATTAATTTATTATCATATATAATTTTGGGATAATTGCAACTAAGGTCCCAAACGTTTCATGTGCTTGTAGATTTTTCCCTAACCTTTCAATCGTTGCGCTGTCACCCCTAACTTTTCTAACCGTAGCAGAGATGATTTCTATCCAATCTGCCAATCAGTTGACCCAAAATTTTGATGTTGATCATATTTTATTCAATTTTAAAAGGGTAAAATGGTAACTATCTATTAATCACATTAAATAATTAAATAAAAAAGAAATAAAGAAAAGAAATAAAACCCACCCTACCCCCACCAAACCCCAGACCCTAATCCCCTTATACATATTCTTCAAATTTTTGATTTTTTTTTTTTTTAAATGTCATAAACCCTACAGATTGTTATGTATATTGCATGGGTTTAGGTGATTTTGAGTTAATTTGATATTTTTAGGGTTCAATTTGTTTTTTTTTTTTAAAGTTATAAAAATGGATCAAGTTTTGCTAGGCTACTTTGACACATTTTTTAACGCAAAATGTGTGCGCATTTTGACGTTCAACCGTACATATACGGTCAACGAAATTGATTGACTGCATTATCATGCGTATACCCCATATGCGAGGTTTTGAAAATGCATTGTATGTGCGGATATATGCGAAGCATATGCGTGCATTTTAGAATACTGCAATTTCAACGTTATAAAAAATCGACATTAAAGATCATACTGCTCAAAAGTACTTCAAGATTACATTAATATATCATATCTATCATCGACAACATTGCAATAGTTTCTACATAAGAGTAATTATATTTAACATCATCGATGTTAAAACATTAATCTATATGATGTTAATGTGGCATTAAATGATAATTACAATTAAATGAATCACTTAATTCTACATTTTACTGAATCTATCACATAATACCATTTTAGCGGTGTTATAGCACCATTGGTGCTAGACATTATTATTCTTCTAACTAAATGACAACATTAATTTCAAGAAAGAATCTATATCATAAAAAGCAGAAATTATTACAGTTACATTTAGATCTTCATAGTTGCTCTATTTGAGTCTTCATGTTCTGAAAATGCTGGAAGATTTTCTCATTAGCAAACTAGTATCAAATGAATCTGAATTTTTTTTTCGATATCCTGTTCTTGTTTCAAGTTTTAAATTACATAAATTTATCTTCCCATAGCTTTGTTTAACTAAAATTTATTTAGTTTGTTGTGATAGTTCAAAAATAACTAATCAAGAGGGGGGTGATTTGGTTTTTAAAAACTTTTTTGAAAAATAGACTTAGAGTCAATTTAAATCAATTAATGATGGTAAGCAAATAAAAGCAAGTAGATATATCAAATAATACATATAAATGAAATAGCGATAAGTAAAATGGCAGAGAGATTGCAAACTATATAATTGTGGATGTCTGATTCAAAGTAATAATTTACGTCCTCCATTACCAAGTTCTCCAACACGATCAAAGTCTTTTCACTATATTGATTAACTTATGGTGCAATCCAACCATTTACAATGCTTTTGATGACTTACAAACAAGGAGCGCCGACCTTTATTTAATATTGAGCTTTACGAGACATCAATATGACCCACAAATATAAAGAGGAATGATTTTACAATTTAAAACTTCCCTCATAACAAATAATATACATAAATTAAATATAAAGAGAGAAATAGGCTAACACTCAAATTAATAGCAATGAATGAATCTCAAGTATTAGATGTGAAAACTTTAATGAAAAAGTTGACTTTCAAAAATTGTTTCAATCAATCAAAAGTTTTCAAAGTAAATATTTGAAGAATTGAATAAGATGTAAACTCAAAGCGTTTTGCTCAAATATTTCACACTTCAATGCTCTTAAAGAATTTTGTAATGAATGCAAGAAGTAGACATATTTATAGAGTTCAAAACGACAAAAAATTTGTAAGTTCGGATGACTCGTTCGGTTGACCATCACTTGTCCGGATGACCAATATAATTGTTTGTACAGTAAAAATCAGAGGTCGAAACTGTCAAATTTCAGGCCGTTGAAAACTTCATGTCGACCACCTTTTCCAACTGATCAACCACCCGGTAGTTTCGACCTTTTTAATTTTTGATCCCAATTGATTCGATTCGAAGGTTTTGAAAGACAAGGACTTTGGGAAAAATAATTTTAACTAACTTTTCAAGATAAAAGATATTTTTCAATTTCAAATATCATTTTAAAAGTCATTTTTTATTTGATCAAAATATCGCATTAGAATGACTTTTAATGCACAAAATTATTTTTAATGCAGAGAAGGGATTTTGAGCTTAAGCATTAATTGTCAAATATTAAAGTGTTAGTACCTTTACACTTTATCTAAGAATCATGTTTTTGATATTTCTTCGAAGTTTGGCTCTTAAGTTATTGCGTGTATGATTTTGATCTTGACATCCTTCATGAGTTCGATTTGTGATGATAACTCTTGATCTTTTGAAGACTATCGATCAATTTTCCATCTTATGTTTTGAAAAACTATAATCACTTGAATTTAACTTGTTAATAAACAAAATTAACTTATTTGTTATAATCAAAACTTTAATGTTATAATCAACCTTAAGTCAACAAGATGACCAAAATTTTGAAATTGAGTGTGGGGGACAGCTGATTTCGTTGCCCCCATAATAGATTTGCCTTGCTTGGGGATGATAATTGTGTTGTGTAGACGTTCTCTTTGAAGAGGTAAAAAGTTGGGGAAAGGGGATCCCTTTTTAACTATGTATTTCATTAAACTTTCTATATAGATGTGGATGGATATAAAAAATATTGATCTAATAGTTTGTTTGATTGACTTTATTTTCATGGAAAATGTCATTTTTCCATAAACACTTCTACTTTTGGAGTGTTTGATTAAATATTTTTTTATGAAAAATATTTTTCAAAAGTTGGTCACGTGACCATATTTTCTTAAAAAACAAGAAAACTACATCTTTAGTGAGTGGTATGTTTTTATTTCAAGCAATTTACTCACTCTCTTTCTCATCTACATCATTTTTCTCTCATCTATCCACCATGAAAGATGAACAATTATAATATTTTTTAGATTGAAAATTAAATCAATCAAACACAGTTATTAATAGTTTTCATGCAAATAAGTTGTAGGCAATTCAATTGTCTAAAACTTATTTTCTTTTCATGTAAATTTTATGCTTGCAATCAAACAAACCATAAAAGTAATCCGAAGTGTTCATGGAATCGGGATGGCTTTTAGTTTTATTTTTTCAGTTTTTATTGCATTTTTATTATTTACTGTTGCTTTATTAGATTAGGACTTAGCCCATGTTTGACATCCATTATTTCAAAAACTATTTTTTCTATATACTCATTTTTAACCATACATACACAATAAAATATTCTGCACGTAAATCCAATTTTTTCTTACGTTTTAAGCACACATTTTTTAAAAAAATCATTATTCAAAACTCCATATTTTTTACAAATAGTGGTTGTCAAACAAGGGCTTAATAGTATTTATATTAAAGTTGTAAATGATTCCAGTTTGTTATTAAGAGTCTTCTAAAGAGGGAGAAAAAAGGTTTCTAGCTTTGATATTGTAATATTTCTTTTGCAATTATTTAGTATTTATATAAACCAACAAATGTCTAATGTTCATATTTTTGTTATTTAGCCCCTGTTTGATGGCCATTGTTTGGAAAAAATAAAGTTTTAAATAGTGAATTTTTGAAAAATGTGTGGTTAAAAATAGAAAAAATTTTAGGTTTACTGAAAAATATTTCATTGTGTAAATATGTGGTTAAAATGAGTAGGTGGAATAAAGAGTTTTAAAATAATAGTTGTCAAATAGGGGCTTAATCGGGTGGTGAGTTTTAAAATATTAATCATGTTATGCCTCTTCCAAAGTGGCTAGAGATCATGACTATATGACAGTCAGTTAGTAGACTCAATCAAGCCCACACTCCAGATTGCTGAATCTGGTCGAGGTGAGACAATATATAAGATAGCCAAAGTGATTCATCACCTCGGTTGAGATGCCACGTAGAGTCCGATCCTTTATGATCTAGGCGAGATGCTATAACCTATTTGTGAGGTGATTCGAGGCAATTAGCCTCTTAATTGATAGAAGACACTTTCCACTTCACAAGGATCTTCCCAATATTGATTGTCATTACTTCTCTATAGTTGATGTTTCAACGATCAACCT